TTGCTGTTTGGTACCTTGACTTCACATGACTCTTAGGGCACTCGACTTGCATGATGTGACCGTGAGCCACTGGCTTGACTTGTCTTGATTGATTGATTGATTGATTGTGTTCACTGCAGACCTAAGCACTTGAAACTCGGTTGTGACTTGCATATGAGCGACTTACTCCCACCTCTGCTGTTTTCCCACTGCGCCTGCGAGTGTGGATCTAAATTGGGTCCTGAGTCCCAGCATGATGGCGGCTGAAATGAGGATGTGTTTGCCTGTATGTACTGCGAGATAACACTTAAAGTTTTCTTTTGTCTCAAAACTGAGATAGCAGAAGTTGTCTTATGATTGCTCTGTTAAGACCAAGTCAATGGTTAACATTGATTCTTAAGGAAACAGAAATGTAGACAATCCTCAGTGCAGAAACATTAACTTTTAGGTTGTAGAATCTGACCTTTTTTATTAATTATGAGGGTATGGCATAAATTAGATGTCAAGTCACTTGTGTGGTTATGTTTCCTAAAATTTTACTAAATAAACAGTTCTGGGGTCCCAGGGATGTCAGTAGATACCCATCAACAGCATATTTTCCCAGCACACCTCTTAAGGCTTCCTGTGTGTTGTCTTTGTTCCCTTCCATTTTCATCCAGAAATAAAAGGCTTTTTTCCTTTTCTCCCACAGCCACTAAACTGTAATTAGCGTAATTCTTTTAATTAAAAGACCTCAGAGCCTTTTTAGACAGTCTGTGATAGCAGATGAGCCCACACACCTACAGCAGAAGTGTCACTGACAATTAGCCAAACAGGGCAAAACCATGCAGTCTCCACATTTGACTGTGTTCACACGGATATGATGAAGAATTTACACGGCAGGCTGGCGAAGCGTTTTGTTCTGCGTCAAATTTCAGACGTCTGTAAGTTTAAAGTAACATTTCATGTACGCCAATAACCTCAAGTACTCGGTCTGTATTACTATGAAATGAAATTATGAATGTACTGATGTTATGAGATACGGTTAGCTCATTATACTGGTCATGAGTCAAAGTCAAAACCCTGCCATCTTAATGAAGAGAACAGCAGAAAAAACCCACCACCACCAGCACCCATTAAATATGTGGGAAAATGTGTATTTATGCATGTCCAACTCACTTTTAAGGCAACTTGTGGGCTAATGGCCTGTTCACACCAAGGTCGACAACTACAACAATAACTATAAGGAAAAATATAGTTCTAAAAATTATTTAAAATTTAAAAGAAATAGCAGAGTCCACACCGCAATTATAAGGATAACGGCATAGAGAAACAATATCACTGGAATCACTTTTTTTCCAGCTAACGATAAAAATGTTTAGCTACAGTCAGAATCCATCCTGCTTTAAAGAGTTCAAGCAGAATGTAATCTGTAGTTGCTATATAGTGATCTTTATAGTCATCTTCAAAGTTCTTGTTGTGAATGGGTCTTAATTTGTACGTTTTTCATACAGTCTACTCTATGCCCCATTGATGTGTAGGGGTGGTCCTCACCCTTGCTTTAAACCTCTTTCTGTACAAATCACATTTTATGAATTCATATTCATATTTATATTTGGCCATGGCCTATTGGGTAAGACTGTTAAGAACAGTTTTGTACGTGCAAATGCAAGAATATCCACGTGTGTGTGACTGTTTGCCATAAATGAGGTTATGAGGTGGATAATGTTACAGAGTTTCACTCCTCTGCCTTCCCACATTTCTATACTGTAATTACATGCATGAAAATCTCCCTCTGTTCTCTCTCTCATGGAATTCATGCATAATTACTTGCATAATTATAGTTCTCTCCATTCTGCCGTTATGGTTTTGTCTTACTCACCGTAACACTCTCTGGTTCGCTCGTATCCGTTGTATCGCAGCGCTTATCGAGTAGTGCCTCTCCTGAGCGCTGTCGAAATGGAGTATGTGAGAGGCCCTGCTGAGAAAAAGTGGCGCACACTCCCTGCTTGTACGCTTCAGACGAGTGTTTGTGTGAGTCCTTGTGCTCTGGAGTTAAGAGAGCTTGGTAAGAGAGACACAAAGATGTCAACTTTACCCATTTAATTTTTATGGAGACAACGCGAATGCGACGTCCCAGTAGGTACAATTAGCAAGACTGCTTAGCAACAGAATGTCACTGATGAGGGAGCAAAGGAACATGGGAAGATAAAGTGAAGTGTTGATGGGAGCATGACAGCCGGATGTAAGGTCTTATTTATAAATGTTTGTAGGAGGTTTTTTGGTTATAGCCTACTTTGAGGACAAATTCTTAAAAAGCAGGACATTTTCCTATAGGCTTAGGACCTGAAAGGTTAGAATTATAAACAATATAAGAGTATACAAACTCATTTAGCTAAATAAGGGGACACAATATCCTAACATAAAGTCCAAAAATTGCAAAACTGTTTCTGGGTCACTAAAGTAAGCAAATTAAATAAAAATATTTTAGTAGGCTATAAAAGCAATAGATGCGTGGGTCAGGGTTTGCATATTGTGGGGAGCAGCCAAGAGAAATTGCTTAATAAACACTGCATAATGTCTTAAAGGGGTCATATGATGCGATTTCAAGTTTTCCTTTCTCTTTGGAGTGTTACAAGCTGTTCATGAATAGATAAGATCCCTAAAGTTACAAAGACTAAAGTCTCAAACCCAAAGAGATATTCTTTATAAAAGTTAAGACTCGTCCACGCCCCCCTAAAATACCTCGTTTAAACACGCCCCCACATGTCTATGTCACGATGTGGGAAGATTTGCATAACGCCGCCCAAATGTTCACGCAAAGAAAGAAGGCATAACTTTATTGTTGCTGCCACCACCGCCGCCATGTTATGAAGACGCTGTGTGTTTCGTTGCGAAAGCGAAAATACTTTGTTTGGCCTTCCAATAGAGGACATGACTAGAAATCAGTGGTTAAGTTGTATTTACAACACTGTTCCAGAACAGTTCAACCCAAATATTCAGATGTGTGCAGCACATTTTATAGAGGACTGTTTCCTGATCCTGGTAGAGTAGACTACAATGCCGGCAGTTCTGACTCACAGACTGTTAGTACGTTTTCATATTTAAAGGATTTGCCACTGACGATTTAAACGCAAGTTTTGAGCAGTGTAGAGTAGCGCTTGTTGTTTGTCATTTCTCCGATCACAAATGCAGACATGGTTTTATGTTTACGCGGCGCGATGCAATGCAACGCGTAAAAAGACAGTGTAAGTCATTATAATCCTTAATTATGTCCCCACTGGATGCAACAAATGCCTCGTTTATAATGGGTTTTAATGTTTTTGTCTCATCGCTCCGGCCGGGACACGGCATCACAATATGGTAAGGGGCGTAACATTTCCATCACACGCTTGAGGTATTCGGCCAATCACAACGCACTGGATAACTGACCAATCACAGCGCACCTCGCTTTTCAGACCGATGAGCTTTGTAAAAATCGAAGCGTTTCAGAAAGGCGGGGCATAGAGGAGAAATAATAATGAACCTTAAACCGCATAAACACATTTCATTACACCCAATACACAAAATAATGTTCTTTTTAGCAGCATCATATGACCCCTTTAATGGAAATCTAAAAAAGCAAAAAGATTTGCATGAGGGCATGGCATAGCAGGGTTGGCCAACTTGGCCCTATAGAAAATATTGTTAGCATATAGAAACAATACAATTCAATTGAAAATCTTTAAGGTGTATTAACAATTTACATGTGCATTTGCTCTTAAATTGTTGTCCCCCACAAAAACACTGGACGCTACACGTTTTCATTTTGATTTAGGCCAACCTCGTTTTACACAGGTTAATACTCATACTGTGTATGTCTGTAGATTTTCTTATCAGACATTCTCGACAATGAAAAGGGGATGTAACACAACGAGTGTAGGCTACTTTTAGTGAAAGTAACTTAAATCACGTACGGTCAGCAAAATATTCATTTATATGGGTTCAGATGTAAGTAAGGGTTCAATTTAACTTCATTACAGCTGTAATCATGTGAATGTCCTGGAGCTATTGTTGAGTAAGTTAGGTGCGCTATCTGCTGGTCACTTCGAGAAGCTTTTGTTTGTCTCCCACTCTTCAACAGTTCAGTTAGTTCACAAACTGACAAATTCAACGGTCTCCGCTTCACTCCTCGTATAAAAACGTACGCGGTATTTACTTTAAAAATTACATGTTACATGTTGCTAAAATAACTATTTTCTCAATTTTAGCCAGTTTCTCAAGCACACCTTCTGTCGCACGGATCAGGGACTCGGCAGCACCGTCCTGGACCGTTCGAGCGCACCTCGGGCCGCCGCTTCTCCCAGTGGAGCCGCGCTGGTGTGTTTGTTTTACCGGTGTGTAAATTAGCCGTAATTCGTTTGCTCAGTAATGACGTGGGAGAGAGCTAATTGGGGCAGTGTTGATGGGTGCGTAAATGAGTCTCTAGTGTGATATGCTAATGAGACCCTGATTCTCTAACTCTCCCTGATCAGCTAGCAGACATAGGGGATGAATGATATAATTTTGTTCACAAACATATAAACAACGTCTATGGCGGCTTTCACTTTAAGTTTACTATGAAACCAACACATTTTTTAATTTTCATGTGCTTTTATTTCAAGCTATTTAACATGACATACAGTCAAAGAAAAAAAGCTACTTTATTATGCTATATTAGCCAGATTATACTCACACACAACAGTACCGGTATTACTATATCACCTACACTCTTAAAAATAAAGGTGCTTCAAAAGGTTCTTCAAGCGATGCCATAGAAGAACCCTTTTTGGTTCCACAAAGAACCATTCAGTCAAAGGTTCTTTAAAGAACCATCTCTTTCTTACCTTTTTGTAATCTGGAGAACCTTCTTTCGCCAAAAAAAAAGAACCTTTTGTGAAACAGAGAGGTTCTTCAGATGTTAAAGGTTCTTTATGGAACCATTTAGACAAAAAGGTTCTTCTATGGCATCGTGAAGCACTTTTATTTTTAAGAGTGTAGTTGTTTGATGCTTCTTTTTTTTAAATTACCGTGTGTGAATTACATGGTAAAGGAGCAAGAGATTTCACTGAGTACAATGTTATTAAATGGTAGCACCACAGTACTTTTTGTAAAGAGTCAACAGTAAAACCGCAGAGACAGCATAATGACAATTTCATTCTAAATCAATAATTCTATTTTTTTATTGCTTTTCTGACACTCTCATGATGCCATCTGACAGCCGTCTTTAAGGTATCTTCATGGCTTTGTTCACTTCTTCACCTCCTCCTTTTCTTTTAGGACTTAAGAAAAACAGTATTACATTAGAAAATAACACAGAGGGTTGAGGGTTTAGCCACAAACTAAAATCAGTCATTTTAAATGCTACAAGTGAGTTTAGGCATCAGTATGATAGATTTGGGCTTTGTGTTGTAATTTTAAATTATTAGTGTTTTTAATGAGTAGAATTAAGTGAGGCAAATGTAATTTAAAAATACAAATAGAGGAAATGAGCATGCACAATTAAATATCCAAGGTACAGATATATTGTGCATCCCTAAATATTATGTCATAGTCAGAGTTACACACTGGACCTGATGGAAATTTTTGACCATACCTCGAACCTCCAGCTTGCACTCCACTTCATCTTCTCCCAGGTCATTGATGGCTCTGCATGTATACTTCCCTCCATCAAACAAGCTTGGTTTACGGATGTTTAAAGTCAGCACACCCTGGTTATTCTGCATGAGATACTTTGGATCCTCGCCAATAATCATCTTATTTTTCATCCATATAATCTTTGGCTGGGAGGAGAACAAAAGAGAATGAGAACGAGAGTGCATTGTTGCTTAATGGGCTTAGAAGCGACTGCATGGGTGAATAGGTTTATATAGTCAAGCACTGTACTAACACTTACTTTCGGGTGTCCACGGACAGCACAGCTGATGGCAGCGCTGTAACCTGCGATAACAGACCTGTCCACGAGAGGTGTGATGAATTTAGGAGAGCTGCACATATCTTTTTCCTTGTAGGGTTTCAGATTTTGTTGAAGACCTAAGAGAAAGAGAATGGAAAAAGGATTGCACATTACAAGTATCGCTTCAGCAGAGACACTTGGGCAATAATCATCATGTAAAACAACATTCAGTGTTTCAAGATGAATTTTTAAACCACCAGTATGTAGGTACCTGTTTTGGCGATGGCAGCTGTGTTTTTGCTGATGCCAGCATCATCACTCATGCCACAGATGTTCTCGCTGAACACACGGAAGGTGTACTCGTTCCCCATCACCAGGTCAGACACGGTACAACTAGGTCTGCGATTGTGTTCAAGAACCGTGAACCACTCCTAACCGGTGAATGAGCGAAAGACAGATTTGTAGTTAAACAGCCAAACACAAATAACATCTGGTGTTGTTGGCCTTGCACAAAACCTAGATACAAACCTTTCTCTATTCACTATTGGTTATGATATGCCCTAAAGCTGATGTGCTAGGTTTTCTGTGCTACTTCTTTTTGAAAATACCTCAAATAAATTACAAATATATATATATATATAACTTAATAGAAAATAAGAACACAAATGTTACTGTCAATAAATGTAATATTTTACATATATAATATTTTTCAAGATATAGGGTATTAATTATCTATCCATAACATAGACTACATACAACCATTCAGGTGTGTTTTATTTGAAGTATATAACGGCCAGAAATATTTGGTGTAGGTTTTAGACTCAAGTTTTCTCACACCTGAAGAAGGTGTGGTATGCCTTCGGTGAACAATTAATTCTTCATGCTCACTTTGTGCAGGAGCAGAAAACAATCCTCTCAAAACACTCAAACCTCTGTAATGACATTAAGATTAAAGGGGCCTAACCTGCTAATTATAAAGGAGTGTTCACATACTGTTGACCAATACAGTAGGTACTGTTGCTGGTTTACCTTGGTTTTTAAGTCAGCCTTTTGGATGGTATAGCCAGTGATTTCACAGTTGCCATTATCTTTTGGAGGCTTCCACTCCAAAGCAGCATTGAAGCCCCAAACATCAGTTACAGTGACAGCAATTGGAGGCCCAGGCTTGTCTGTGAGAACGTGAAGGAAAGGGAAAGAAAAAAAAGGACTGTAGGCATTACTGTAGAGCTTGACACCAATACACTGTCCTAATTTTAACCACAAGACTAATTAACGTGCGCTAAATGGAGAAGAAGCTACAAGTGAGTGAGCAGATGAATGATAAAAATGAAAAAGGGAGAAAATGAGGGAGAAGAGAAAAAAGAGGGTGAGCACATGAGCGTGAGGTAAGGATAGTGAGATCACGCTAAAAAAAGATTGAAAGCGAGAGAGTTGGAGTTTGCGGCTAGGAGCGGCTGGCATTAATCCTGGGCAGGCTGCTGGGATGCTGGCAGCAAACTGTGACTAAATGCCTGTCTGGCTCATCTGAAGGGTTTTTGCACTCTCATTAGCTTACCTCCCAGCGGGAACACAGAGTGAGTGTCCCCTAATCCTATCCTAATCCCGTTCAACACCAGGAATAATCCAAACAACACCCCGCAGAATAATCCCTGCAACCGAACTGACCTATGACATCCTCGATTTTGGTGAAAGTGTAAGTGTTTAATATGAAACCTTTCTGACAGTTTAGGAGTTGGAAATTCAATGTAACTTTTCAAAGTGATCCTCAAACACTTTCCACGGGTTAACAAAAATTAACCTGACTCACACTTCACTTCGCAGGGAAATGAACCTTCTGAACTGTGCGGTTTAATCCTTTAATTTTCTGTCATCGCTGTATTTGTGGCACTATATAGTGATGTCTATAATGTTGATGTGAGTGATCTCCACAAATGAATGTGCAGCATTTTCAGCACCCTTAAACACAACTTTTTTTAATACTATTTTCTAGACTGTTAGCAAGGTAAAACACTCTGCGTCTTTAAATTCACCTTTACATTATCATTAAACCATCGCCAGTACATCCGTACTCATTGTGACGGATGTCTTCAACCATCGCATCACATCTCCCGCTGTTTTTTGAGCATCCTGCCACAAGCGTTGCATTTTTATGATGGCATGTCAAGTTGGAAAAAACATTTCATAGAGACGCAGCCTTGTGGGCAGTGCTCCAACATAGCACACAACAACACTTTGGGGGGGCTCAAGGTCTTATCCCGATCCCGTTCAAAAATTGTTGTCCTGTTCCACGCTTGCTGTTTCTGCCCAAATGCTCTTATCAAAACAAAATTATCAAAATATAAAATTCTTTAAAAAAAAAACATATCACAAGATCCCAGTATTCTGTTCTAATTGGTTGCACAGTACTAAGAACACATCTAATGTAAAGGCCCCCTAAGAAGTGTGTGCAACCTAGGTCAGGTGAATGCTTGTGACTTGTTAGTCAAACTAATAATTCAGGCAACCCACGCCTCTGTAATTCTTGAATTTGAAATTATGTTGTTGTGCATATCCCAATTAAAACATCAACCAAATCATTTTGTTGACACTAACCTACAATCTGGATCTCAAGATTGACTTTGTCCTCCATGTTCTCAATCTGCACGGAAAGGGTGTACTGGCCAGAGTGCTCTCTGGCCGCCTGCCTGATGAACAGGATAGTGTCCACATCACTTGTGCGGATATTCACCAGCCCGGTGTCTAGAGGTGCACCATCTTTGAGCCAGGTCACCACAGGACGCGGTTTGCCCTGATAGCAGTTGACATGGTGTAAATCGATAATTTGAAGTGCTGCGAAGAGCAGCGATTGAACGGAAAAGTAGCACTACAGAGGTACTACAGAAGAATGTCCGTGTATGACTGACCTGGAAGGGAATGACAAGGTTGACCTTCTCACCCACTCGTTTGATGTACTTAGTCCTAAGCTGCCGAGGGAGGCGGATTTTAGGACGCTCTGAGAGAGGAGATTGAGAGAGGAAAAAGACAGAAGAAAACGTGCTGAAAATGACAACAGTGGGGTGTTTATATACTTAATGGTCAGTGCATCACAGCCAAGTGTGTTGTGTCAAATCTGCATTGAGTAGTTAAAGGGAAAGTTTACACAAATCTGAAAATTCTCTCACCACTTAAAGGATTGTCACTTCCAGAATAAACATTTCCTGATCATTTACTCACCTCCATGTCATCCAAGATGTTCATGTCTTTCTATTTCAGTCGAAAAGAAATTAAGTTTTTGACGAAAACATTCCAAGATTTTTCTCCATATAATGGACTTCAATGGCGGCCAATGGGTTTAATGGGCGTAATGCATGACCTTTGCAATGTGACTACATAATGTGTAAGGTCAAGTTAGTGCAAGACGAGCATTTGTGGTAAAAAAGTATATCTCTTTTTTGTTTTTGTTTTTTTTTTGAAAATGAGAGATAGTAGATAAGCCCCTTATTTCTCGGCTGGGATCTGCAATTTGGGCTTTCAACCTGTTGGCCGCCATTGAAGTCAATTATATGGAGAAAAATCCTGGAATATTTTCCTGAAAGGCTGTAATTTTTTTTCAACTTAAAAAATACATGAACATCTTGGATGACATGGGAGTGAGTAAGTTGTCAAGAAATGTTTATTCTGGAAGTGAACTAATCCTTTAAGAAGATATGTGGAAAAATGTCCACACAATGCAAGTAAGTGAGGTCCAGTGTTGTTTTAAGCAATATTTATCCCTATTTTCTCCTATTTTTTGGAAGACAGAGACTGCACATTTTAAATGCATATATTGGGATATATTTCAGGATACTCCACAAACTCCCATTTTTGATTCCTGGGAATATGTTTTATGTTGTTTGTGTGCAAGTATGTATGTGTGCGAGTCTCACCGACAATCTCCCGAATGGTGACAGCTTGCGCCATCACAGCCGGAGGGCTACGACCAGCGATGTTCACAGCTGTCACCCTGAACAGCATCTTCTCTCCAACAGGCAGATCTCCATTCAATAAGAAAGAGCATAATGGATACTTGATGACTAATCGGTTTTAGTGTCCTGGCATAGAGCAATATTGGTGAGGTCAAGGACGAGGTGAGCTTACTTATGCATGAATCGATAAGGGTGGCTGTAAGTGGACCGCTATACCTGCCAATGTGTGTCATTTTGATGCGGTCGCTGGGAATGACCTCCACCCCATCTTTAAACCACTTGCCAGTCACTTTCTCATCTGACACTTCACACTTGAAGACAGCCTGTTCTGCTGCCTTCAGTGTCAGATCAGCTATACTCTGCAAAACCTCCAGTTCCTTCTCTATGATAGAGAAAAAATAAGAGAAAGAAGGGCAATGAGTCCATTAATATTAAAATATAGAAACATTACTGAAATATCAGCCAAATGGTGGAAGGACTAAGAAGGTAGAATTGTCATTTTACTCTATCAAAATAAGTACCTTCCACTTCCAGCTCTCCCTTGGACTCCCCCCCACTAGTGTACACATAGTATGTCCCAATGTCCTCTGCGGTTGCCTCGTTGATGATGAGCCAGTGCTTTGTCCCATCTTTCTTAAAGCGATACTTTCCATCTCGGCTCAGTTCCACTCCATCCTTCTTCCTGAGAGAGATGAAGAGAGACAGAGGGAGAGTGAGACAGAGAAGGACAAAGATGGAAATAATGTTCATAAGAAACTGAGGAAGGCAATCCATGCCAAGATTACTGAAGATAAAATAAGAAAGAGAGTGGAACTAGTACAAAGAGAACATGCATTGAAAAAAACAGGATGGAAAGATGATACAGCAGAAAACAACATTGAAAGATACGTATGATACTGTAATTATATTGTGAGAATTGATCCTACTAGAGCTTTTATAATTTATTTAGCATGTAAATTAATGTATATCTTAAAACCTCAAAGCGGAATTTTTTTTTCCATCTGCTTGTCTGAACTTGAGCAGAAATGTCGAAAAAAGCAGATAGTGCTCAGCCACATTACTCAGTTAAACAGAGAGAGGTAATGACAGAGAAAACTGCATAATCTAAAACTAAATGTGGCATTTATTATAGGCTAATAGGTTTTTGTGTGTTTTGACATAACCATAGTAGTTGCTAAATGAGTCATTGTATTCTACAATTGTTGGTAATAAACGGAAAACAAAAGAGCAGTCAGACAATTTGCCGTTTAGCCTATTCAATGTTAATAATGGCTTGTTAATGTTCAATGACAATAATTAGTGATGTTGACCTTGATAGTAATGCAATTAATTTAGTCAGCTGGTGATGTTTTCAGCATTTTAATTTGTACAGTTTGTCAATTTATTTGTAGGCCTGTTGACTGAACTAAAGAAGCTGGTGACCAATTGACCAGGTAAGTGTTGCCAGCTTGGTCCAGTACCTCACCATTTCACATTGGCTCCCTCTTCAGACACTTCAACCTCAAACTCCACCTTCTCCCCAACCACCACATGGACGTCATCCAACATCTTAGTGATGGTGACAGGTGGTTCTGTTCATATAAACACACCAATAAGTGGTTAATACAATCAAACACTATAAAATGAACAACATTTTCATCAAAGAGGAGTTTCTGGGGCTGATGGCAGCTACAATGCCACATATCCATGAATAAATAAGACAATAAAGGTACAAGAATTAAAACAAGAGACATACACAAAGACTTGGCTCAAAATAACACGGCTCATGTAAAAACAAGGTAAGGACAGACAGCATAGACAGAGTTTTAAAATAATCAATAGGCAGATGGCTACCACTCAGGGGCAGACAGGACACAGGACAGAGACAGATAAACAGAAAGAACAAATGAAATTACAAAAAGGGGGATGTGCTAATGATGCCATTGATGTAGATGATGATGATGATGAAGATGGTGATAACGACAGTGTACCTTGGACAAAGACCTCAGTGAAACTCTTCTCCTCTCCAATCACACATTCATACGCGGCATCATCAGCGAGGGTGCACTTGTTAATAATGAGCTTACGGATACCACCCACACTCTCAAAGATATATCTAACAGAAAGAGATAAATTCAGCACAAACCTCATGTAAGGCATCGAGCATCAACCATCAATAGCATTCATCAATGACAACCAGTGCACCTCTCAAGTGCTATGTAAAACCAGTTGTTCCAGTGCTTTTAAACACAAATACAAAGGGTCATACTTGGCTGAAGGTTTGATCTCCTGTCCATTTTTCAGCCATTTGACTTGAGCGTTGGGGTCAGCCAGCTCCACACTAAGCTGTATTTTCTTTCCTTTCTCCACAGAGTAAGCAGGATCCAACTTCTTTAGGAAAGCTGAAAACAGAAGCAGCACTAACATATTCAGTCCATTACAATACTCGCCCACCAATTCCAAATCTATTTTGCTTGGTTAATTAACAAAATTACATTTTACGGTTGGGTTTGAACCCTTCATATGTATGTACAGTATGTGTGTGTGTGAGGAACTATGACTTGGTACATCCGTCATGTGTCTCACCATCGCTCTTTTTGGGCTCCACCTTCTTCATCTTCTTAAGTCTTTTGAGCAGGCCCCTGAGATCAGTGATGCCGTACTCAAAGGCGATCTTCTCATAGTCACATGGCTTAGCATTTTTCAGGATCTCCCACACATCCACATCTATCTCAGGCTCCTCCTTCTGCTTCCTCTCTCTGAGGCACATGGAATCCAAAAATATGGTTAATCTTCATATCTGGTTGCGATTGACTGTTTTTATGTTGAGTCCTAGGGACCACAGTCATGTTGTGCTTCCTTCAAATTCTACTAATAAGTTTCTATGACCTACTCAAAACCGAGCATGCTGATATTAATGAGGCTGCTCTGTTGTATCATGAAATATGCATGCATATTTTAGAAATTTGACTCATCCAAATTTATCAGACCCCAGACAGAACTGGGGTTAATGTTAAAGCCTATATTACATTTCTACAGTGAATAAATGACACAATTAATTATAATCAGGCAGTGATTACTATGTATGCAATTTGAAGGAAGCATGATGAAAGGGAATCTTTCAAGACCTTCAGCTGCACATAAAATAAACAGAGTGAGAAGAAAAAACATGGAGGGGGTAGAACATCTTCCAAACCTTTTCTTGAGTAAACCACTGAAATCCAGTTCACCTGCATCCTCTCCTGCATCTCCCCTACAGATGACAGAAGGTAATTAAAAATAAAAAGGAAAATAAACAATTAGGAGTACATCATGTTTTTAATAAATACTGTTTACTGTATAGCTTTCTATAAACTCACATAACAGACGCTTACTGTTATACATTCTTAAAAATAAAGTTTCATGAAGAACATCCATGAAACCTTTACACTGCACAAAAGAACATGCACTGGAACCTTTATATATATCAAGGATACATGCAGCATATTACTGACATTTACAGTTATGAATTTGGCGACGGTTTCGTCTGAAACGACTAACACTGCATTCAAGATATACATTTTATTGGTTCATGCAATCGCTGGGAGTCAAACCTATGACACAAACCTATGGTATTGCCAGCATCATGCTCTACTGTTTGAGGAGCTCAAGAATAGATCAAGGAGCCTGGCTCAGTCCTAGGGCTAAACAGAGACCTCCCGGAGCTGGACCTGGAGTCAAACTCTCAGACACGAGGAAAAACATCTCTCAATCGGTCCATGAGATCATTACTGCTCAGAAGAGCAGCTTCTGGCAACAGACAGCTCCCTCAAGTGATATGCAAGAGTATCATACAATCTTACTTGTATGAACGTGAGGAGCATGAGCACTTACTTTATGTACACCTACAGCAGCATCTAAACATAAAGTCACACTGACAATATGAATAAAAATTCCTCCAAACAGAGACCATAAACATCTTTGGAGTGTGTTAAAACAATGTGACCAGTGTTGGGTCCGAGTCAACCTTGTCGAGTCCTAGTTTTTAATCAATTGAGTTTAAGTGGGAGACATTTATTAATGTCTTTTAATATAAATTTTATGTAGCTACTTCTTTTTTACATTTTATATTACACATGACGCGGATTCGTCTATACTCTGAAAAATTTCTGCGTCCTAAATATCCAAGTCCGAGTCCACCCGAGTCCGTCCAAGTCCAAGTTCATTCACAATTGCAGTCCGAGTCCCGAGTCCTGAGTCCAAGTACCCCAACTCTGAATGTGACATCAAAACATCTATCAGTTACTAATGAGTAAGAGACACAGACACACAAACAAACTTACGATCGTTTGAACGCCTCCAAAATGTTTGTTTGTTGTGTCTCTTCAGCAGCTGAAGGAGAAGATGAAATACATGATGATGATGATGAGAAAGTGTGAGTGTTTGAGTTGCGCCAAAATCTGATTACGTCAAAGCCAATAAATGTGTAGTGCTGATTTACTAAGTGCTGCGAAACTAACAGGAGAGGATCTAATCAGCTAAATACCTACTGAATAATGAATCAGCTCTAGACTTACAGTACAGTAAAGTGTGCGCACACACATACCAGGTGTGTGCTAACTGACTCTATTCATCTGAAAACGACATTATATGCATTATAAATGATGTACATCAGGTGTTTCAAACTCTAATTACTAGCCAGATTCAGTGATAAGACGAGAGTTTGTACATCAGAATATGTCAAATGTTCTTTTAATTCACCCATTGCTGCATTATGTCCTACCTTCGACGGAGATGTCAAATGTGCAGCTGTCACACTTGTCTTTGGAAGTGACCTCACAGCGATAACCTCCTGCATCTCCATCCACAACCTTAACAATGGTCATCTCATAGGTGTATATCTGGCATCAAGAAATATAAATGTTAACTCTGATCTGTAATGAACAAATCTCAAATAAAACACACTGTTCTTCACACACCTTGGTGTTCCTATCATAGGTTTCTTTGAACTGCAGGTGCTTTCCAGCCTTGCTGCCCAGATCCATCCATTTCCCCTTCAGCCACTTCATAGTTGGCTTCCTCAGCATCTGAGAGGAGTCCACCTTCGTCACAAATGTGACATTTTTCCCTGTTACAAATAAAATGACATGAATAAATAACGCTGAACTTACGATATACCATTATTTATGAGTATACATTAAGCAATATCACACAAGCAAGAGTTCTATTGAATAAAGGTTATTTTTTTAGCAGAATTGTGTTTCTGATATTGTTTGTATTCTTACAGTTCAAGTGAACAAAAATAGGTTCTGCACTCACTGAAATACTTCTGAATGATTTATGGACTTTTTATTATACAAAAAGAACATACTGATCCATTTATGCTTTTTGTATAATAAAAAACAAATCTATAAATCATTAAGAAATATACAAGTGAGTGAGGATCCTGCATTTTCTATTTGAATCCATTATGATTTTAATGAAATTTTATTGATCTACACTCACAAAGCATTGGTTGAGCACAGTGATTTAACATATTTTTGATTACGTACAGTTCAATAAATAAGAAGTTACATTATAGTCACAATGTTGCCAGTTACCTTATGTATTGTTGCTCTATCAATGGAATTATTTCCATACGAAGTTAAAACTGTTGCACGTTTCTGAGCAACACACAATAATAGCGTTTGTTTCCAGAATTAACTTGTGTTTATGATTTGTTTATGACTAAATTTGCTTGTTTCATTCCTGAACAAATCAGTGCTTTGAAGCAAATCAATTGAATGAATTAATCAATGACCCACTCATAATGACAAGCGCTTGCTTCATTCCTGATCAAATCAGTGTTTTGAACGAAATGGTTAAGTAAATGATTCAGTGACTCATTCATAAATGCAGTCACTTTTATCATTCTTAAATGAATGTGTTCTAAATTAATTGACTAAGAGAATAATTAAATGACTCAATTAGAAAGTCACCACCTACTGGCGTAAAAACTGAACCTGCAGAAGCAGTCACTAAAAAACCACCACTAATGCTCAGACTAGGAGCCTGGAAAGAAATTGTACAGCACACAAATCTTGGAGTGAATTCAGCAGTGCAGCTACGGACAGTTCAGAATCTCACCTTTAACGGCAGTGACACTCTGAGGCTTCTCCACAAGCAGCCCACTTATCTGAGACATCTGAGGCTCTTCTCCTGGGACATGTTCTACCGGCAGATTCAGAGAAACAATGTAAACTGATATGAACTGATGAAAGCCCACGTTAATGGACACTAAGAAAGGCTATAGTCAACCAGGACTGAAAAGATGCTGAAAACAGTGAATCATTCATGATACTTGTTATTCATTTTGACATTTAAGCAGCCTGGGGAAAAGCTTCCTAAAACATTTAGCACCATCTAATGAAACACAATTATTGACTATTGACCTTTCAACCCTTCCAGATCCATAAACTGATTGTTCACCCAAAAATAAAACTTCTGTCATTTTTTGTTCACCCTCATGTCTTTCCAAACTAATATTACTTTCTATTCTCTGTGGAGCAAAGTTATTTTCTGAGTAAATGATGACAGAATTTTCTTTTTTGTGTGAACTAACACTTTAGGATCTGCACTGGGATGTGAAAGACACGTACACAATTTCCTTTTGCATGACAGATACTTTTTTTTTCATGTATATGTCATTGACAATACATGCTAAAGGATTTGTGTGTCTTACCATCCTCAGGCAATTCTGTATCAAAGAAAAAGAGAGAAAACAGATTGAAGGAAACCATTAGGAAGTTATATATGGCATGACATTATGGCTCTTTTGAGACCTTTTAGGAGGCATTCATGTACACACATACTGTAGGCCTACATACTAACACACATAAATGTAGAAACTGACGTCCTTCAGTTTTTCAGAATGAAGAAAGTGCGTAGCCGGTAATTAAGTTATATTCTTCACTATACAGTCAATACCAATCAACTTCAGTGTCCTGCAAACCATTATAATCATAGTGGTACTGATGGGTGGGTGGGTTTTTTTGGTTGATGCTGGTTAAAATTTAGTTAAATGGATGGCTTTGATGGTTGATTATTTAAAGGTGTCATATGATGCTGCTAAAAGGAACATTATTTTGTGTATTTGGTGTAATGAAATGGGTTTATGCAGTTTAAGGTTCAAAAAACACATTATTTTCCACATACTGTACATTATTGTTTCTCCTCTATGCCCCGCCTTTCTGAAATGCATAGATTTTTACAAAGCTCATCGGTCTGAAAAGCGAGGTGTGCTCTGATTAGCCAGCTATCCAGTGCGCTGTGATTGGCCAAATACCTCAAGCGTGAGATGGAAATGTTACGCCCCTTACCATATTGTGATGCCATGTCCGGCCGGAGCGACGAGACAAAAACATTAAAACCCATTATAAACGAGGCATTTGTTGCATCCAGTGAGGACATAATTACTGATTATAATGACTTATACTGTCTTTTTACACGTTGAATAAAACCATGTCTGCATTTGTGATCAGAGAAATGACAAACAACAAGACCTACTCTACACTGCTCAAAACTCGCATTTGAATCGTCAGAGGCAAATTCCTAAATATAAAAAACGTACTAACAGTCTGTGAGTCAGAACAGCCGGCATTGTAGTCTACTCTTCCAGGTTCAGGAAACAGTCCTCCATAAATTGTGCTGCACACATCTGAATATATGGGTTGAACTGTTCTGGAACAGTGTTGTAAATACAACTTAACCACTGATTTCTAGTCGTGTCCTCTTTTGGAAGACCAAACAAAGTAGTTTCACTTTCACAACGAAACACACAGCGTCACACACAGCGGGCTTGAGTGAGCGGCGGCCGGAGGCCTAGAGTGAGGAACGGCCAGTGGACTAGAGTGAGCGGAGGCCAGCTTGAGTAAGCAGCGGGCGGCGAGCTTGAGAACGGTGCGGCCGGTGGATTTGATGAAGGAGCGTCCGGCGGGCTTGCGGCATCCACATGTGATGACCCCTGGGCTGGACTCCGCTTCGTCCACGGTGAAAGCCGATCTGGCGAGCCACAGCGCGAAGTTGATGTATTTCCTCAGCAACCAGCAAGGATAAGCTCTAGGTATGGTGAAGCGGATATCGTCCTCTTTTGGAAGGCCAAACAAAGTAGTTTCGCTTTCACAACGAAACACACAGCACCTTCACAACATGGCGGCGGCAGCAACAACAATACTACAGCGAGAATAAATGTTACGCCTTCTTTCTTTGCGTGAACATTTGGGCGGCGTTATGCAAATCTTCCCACATCGTGACGTAGACATGTGGGGGCGTGTTAGAACGAGCTGTTTTAGGTAGGCGTGGTTGACTCTTAACTTTTATAAAGAATATCTCTTT